TATATATAAAATACTTAATATGCTCACATTTGAGTAGATGTAATAAATTACTTTAATTCCTGTTTAAATGCAATTCATCCTGCCATACCTGCAGTGTCTTTAGACTTTGCCAGCAAATTAAAAGTTGAAGCTTAATCATTAAATTATTATCTTTGTGTTAGATTTATTTATAAATCACATTTAAACACTGCTTGTACCAATTAAATTAAATAAAAAGTAACACACGTTCTCTATCACCGTCATTAATCATCAAACAAACAAACAAACAAACAGCTTCATCAACCAGAGAGACTGACGTTACGTTTTCTTTCTTGAAACAGAACAATGTGTTAAATTGTAGAGACTCACCTGCAAGTTGACCTCACCTGAGTTGGAAGTGAAACACGTATCAGCTGCAGCTCCTTCCTCCTCCTCGTGACTCCGTCATGTTACGTTTATCAGCGTGGTTCTCCCGTGTCGTGTCGGCGATTTTCAAAGCTGCATGTTTCTCATTTTTTATCTTTGTGAAGTTCTCCCACACTTTGTAGGACTTGGGTCGAACAGTTTTCGCTGCGTTGGTCATTTGAAAAATTTACTTAAATTTCCTTTGAAAACAGTTTCTGCTTTGCTTCCACCTCACTCTGTTCAACTCGCGCTGCAGTTTGTTTTTTTTTCAGTCAGTCAGCATTGACAATGAACTGCCCGTGAACAAAATGAAACGACTCCGCAGCGCCGTGAAAGATGCATAATCGCACGACACAACGAATCGATAACGAAATTCATTGCCAACGCTTTTAATCATCGATTTTTATCGATTAATTGTTGCAGCCCTATACCTGAGTGAGCTGCCTGAGCGGCATGGATTGTTTATTTAAAATAATCAAGCGCGACCCGAACTGAGTCTTTAGTCCCCCTCGGCGATCACTGAGCAGGCCAGGCCACCGGGAAATGTCCCGGTGCTCCCAATGGCCAGCCCTCCCTCAGGGCTCAGTACCCGTGTCTGCTCTCTTTCTTTGTTTTCTTTTAGAATGTTTAGAAAGTTTAGATCATTGTTAAGAACATTGTAAGAGTGTGGAAGGTTTATAAAGACTTAAAATATAAAAATACTAAAATTAATATAACATCCCTGCTTCACAAATTTTCACATATCGCGGGGGTGTCTTGAACATAACCCCTGCAGTAAGTGAGGGACTACTGTATTGTTTTCTCCAGTCGTTTTTGATGCGGGTCAGATGTTTTTGTTGAGCAGTAATTCATCTGAATATACTTTTAAATAACTTTCATTGGAAATTGACAGCATTTTTAGTTCATTAATTGCACAATTTCAACACTGCATACAGTAGATTACAGCAGATTATTCATGTCTTAGTTGTCTTTGTTATTCCTTTATTTGATTACATTTTTTGACATTAAGAGCATCACTTTCAAATACTGGGCTGCACAGTGGGACTGTTGGTTAGCCCTGATGCCTGGTAGCAAGAAGATTGTAGGTTCACATCCTGGCTGAGGCCTTTCTGTGTGGAGTTTGCATGTTCTCACTGTGCTTAAGTGGGTTTGTTCCAGAGTCTCTGGCTTCCTCCCCTAGACCAAACCATGCATGCTAATCTAATTGATAACTTAAAATTGTCACTAGGTTTGAGTGTGATGAATGGTTGTTTGCCTCATGTGTGTCATGTGACCCTGTGATGGATTTCTGACCTGTCCAGAATCTCCCCTGCCCCTAGCACAGTGACTGCTGAACATAAACACCAGTTTAAGAACCAGAGAGACCATCTAATCACAAGCAGAACTGGTTTGCTCCATTTTGGAGTAAGCGGTTGGGGGAAGAATCATTTTTGTTGTGTGTTTCCTTGACTGATGAAGCCTTCCGGATTGAAGGCGAAACGTTTCAGCACAGAAAAAAGAAACTGTCCAGATGACCTGACTGAAAAATGTTGGATTATATACCTGGATTATTGAGCATGGACTTTGTTATAAACACCAGCTCCTCGTGACCCTGAATGGAAACTAATCAATTAGGTCAGCTAGGTCTAATGCTCTGTTTGTCCTCCATTTGTCTAGTTGGCTTACATTTTTAAGGGTTCTCTGCACACTATGCCAAGATGTGTTCATAGTGGTTGATAACTCTTTGAGAATCACCTTGTTTGTACAAAAAAATACAATTTTATTCATTTCAAATTAAGAAACTTCTGGCTTTTTTTTTTGCTTGTCTTTTAGGAAAATCAAAAATAATGCATTTTTGCAACAAACTGCTTCAAACAACGTCCAACAGTTTTTCTTTTTTTTTATTTCCATTTTTTTTTTTCCTACTGACTAGGTCGCAAAAACAAGAGGTCCAGGCGGACAGCCCAGTCATCATTTTCCTCAGCAACACTTTCCAGCTCCTCATGGGGGATCCTTATGCATTTCCAGACCCAAGAGGATACATGATCCTCCAGTGATTTCTGGGTCTCCTTCCAGTGGGACTTGTCTGGAAAACCTCCAGAGTGTCACCCTAGAGGCATCGTAATCAGATGCCTGAACCACCTCAGCTAGCTTCTTAGCAACTCTACTCACCATCTGTTCGGCTGAGGCTGAACGCTCTACAGATGAAACATTTAGTCTGCTTGTATCCAGGATCTTATTCTTTTGGTCATGATGCACATCTCATGACAGTAGGGGAAAGTTGTAATGTAGATAGACCAGTAAATCAAGAGCTTTGCTTTCTAAATAACCCCTTTCTTTACCACAACAGCTTGAAGCAAAAATCTTTCTGCTGTGAAGTCTCTCTGATTTGTTGGTCCATTTTCTGCCCCATCCTACCATCACTCCTGAACAACACTCCCCGATACTTGAACTCCTCCACTCGAGGCAGAGACTCACCCCTGACCCGGAGGGGATTGTTCAGATGAGAACCATGGCTGCACACTGAAAGGTGCTGACTTTAAGCTGCTCCACACTCCGCTGTTAACCGGCCCAGTGCATTCTGAAGGTCCTGGCTCGAAGATGCCAGTAGAACCACATCATCTACATAAAGCAGAGATGAGACCTTGAGGTTCCCAAACCAGATGGACTCTTCTCCATAGCTGCGCTTTGAGATCATGTTCATGATCTCTCATCCCAGCTGTGAGCAATGTGCTTTGACATTTTTAAGTTGTCTGTTGAGTAGGAACAACGCTGGTTCATCTCTTGGGAATTATTCATGAACGATTTAAAGCTTGGTGTCCAGTGGCTCAGCACCATCTGTTTTGGATGAAAATGTTCAGGCAAAGTACTGCAAAGAAAGTAGAAAAGGGAAAGAAGAGAGTCTTCAGATGTCTTTGTGAACTGCTGTCACTCTTTTCAACAATTAAATATATGTTCAGGCTCCTAAAGGCAAAATGTTAATGACAGGGGGCGACTCCAAGCATTTGCTCATAACTGTACGTCCAGGCATGAAACTGAGAAAAGCATTTTCTTCAAACACTGATCTGTTTTTTTTATATTTATTCTTATTTTTTCTACTGTTAACCATCTTTTAACACATCTTTCTTTATTTTTGCTTCTCAGTCGTCTTCTTCCCACGAGCTGCTGCACCAGTTGCCCTCTCAGCCAACTCAAGATGATCTTCATCTCCTCTTCAAACATTTCCGGAACACCGAGAGTGTGGCCGATGAAGAAGGAGCCCACTCAGCTCACCCTGTCAGGGTCCGATCGCGCAGTCTCAGGTACTAAAACCAAAAAAGAACATCTGTTTATGTTGTTTTCACTTAGAAACACAGAGCAGGAAAGAATCATTTGATCTGCTGATTTTTGTCATTTTTTTCCACTGACAAAGACGAGAACAATGTCATATGTTTATAGTTTCATTTTATGAGGATATCAATTACTTAAATGACAAAGAAACTGACATGGAAATTAAAGTGATTTGCAAATCATTGTGCAAAGTATTTGATCCCCTACAATCCTAAACATGTCATATGTATAGATAAGGTCAAACATGTTTGTACGATTTTGTTAAAAAATAAAAAATAAAAACCCACAAAGGTCACCTAAATAAATGACAAAAGCAATAAGAAAAAAAAGCAGTGTACCGACTAGTTATTTTGGTTATATTTCAACAAGTTCAAAAACTAATGGAACTGCCAGACAAAAAGGAAGGTCACCTTAACGTAATGCTTTGTTGCACAACGTTATGAGGCAATCTCTGCAGTCATGTGATTTCTGTAACTGAGATTTCTGCACCTGTCCTCAGGTGTTTTAGTTCACTCCTCTTGAGAAAACCTCTTGCTGTCAAGTCTTTCCACAGGATTTAGCTCCTGCTCAGAAGGCCACTTCAGAACAGTCCCAATATATATATATTTTTTTTTTGCTTTAACAACTCAATTTTAGCTTCAACACATTTCAGCAAAGCCAATCAGAACTCAGGATTCACTTTGCATTTACTGAGAAAATGCAGTTTTTCTTGTTGCTTAGGCCCTGTTTACACGATGCTGTTTTTGAGTGAAACCATAGCATTTCTGTTGGGTTGATCTTTTTGTGAACACGTCAACAGTTTTTCTGAAACTGAAGTGTTATGAATCCAGATCTCAGTGGTCTGTGTGAAATTGCGTGTGCGCACTATGGATGTATTCAATAGCTTTTCTGTCCCTGTGCAAGTAGATAAACAACAATAACAATTATTAACTTTTATTTAACCAGGCCAATCCCACGGAGGTCCCACGTCTCTTTTGAAAGAGAGGGCAGGGTCTGAAGGCAGCCTAACACGCATGCTTATGGACAATGGTGGATAGTAGAGTGCTGTTTGTACTACTTACTCTTTTTCAACATCTAGAAGCAATCCAACCTCATCCTCGGTCCACACCAACGTTGGTTTATTTACCATTTTGAATGTAACTGTTCTCACGCTCGAGATAGAGCTGTCTGCTTGTGTGTGCATCTTGGTAAAAATGGAAAAATTACAGGGCCAGTGAGTGATCTGTTATAGAAACGACAGCACATCACTTCAGTGAGCATAGCAATACTGAGTAATTACAGTTTTCTTTTTTAAATTCCTTTTCACATCAAACATGGAAAAAGTGCCATTTCCAGAGAATGTTCATGTGTAAACAGGCCTTAAGTGCTTCTCAAGTTTTGATTACTCTGAGTACTGTACACAGCAGACCAATGCAAGGTTAATAGCTTAGCAATTGAACCTGTAGATGAACAGATGCTGGGATGTATTCATCGTTTAACGCGAGTTCCTCATTTTTCTGGACTGAATAAAACGTGCATTGAATTTAAGGAAATGCAAACGTGAGACGTCATTTAAATTTGACCCATCAAAATGAATGCGGTCATTTATTTACAGAATCAAATTTAACATCAAACATTTACATTAATTTGGCAAATTATGAAAATAACAACAAAGCAATCAATCAGGAAAAATCATACGGCCATGATTTTTCCGTTGCTGCACCACAG